ATTACCTTGAAGCACATAAATATTTAAGTAGGGATAGTTTACCTTTTCTGGTGGGTGTATAATAAACAGTTTAACCATCATCTATATACAGGCTGTTTTGTTCTCCATCTAAAGAGACAATCACCTTTTATCCTTTTCCTTTTTTTTCTTCGTTTTAGTGCTATTAGGAAACTATTCACAAGTCCAACCCTGAACAATACTATGCAGTAATTATGACTAAATGACAAAGAGATGCGAACAATTACCGAGTCCATTTTGAAACCCTACACTAATAAAGTCATTAGATGCTGCCCTTGCCATGAGCCTTCTAAAAGCTTCTGAAGTTACAAGAACACACGGCATTGTTCGTTAGGACAATTGCTGCTGGCAGAATGCAAACCTTGAGTTAAACCATGCTGCAAATTGATCTTGACATTCTGTTAAGACCGCCACTAAAATCAAAAGCAAAGGAGAAAAGGAGAAAATGAGCGGGTGGGATGTAATCATGGAACAGAAGGGTTCCCTCCTCACCTTCTTTCCTCTTTCTCCTCAAAACAAACCATACAGAAAATGACAAACTCGCCTGATGTTTGAGAACCTTTACTTTTAAAACATTAATTAGACTTCTGACCTGTTTTTATTGACTGGCACTGTATTGCTATTAAAGTAAATTAAATAAAAAATTGCAGAATACAATAGAAAGGGTTTTCACACTGTTCTGTGAAACCTGTTAAGGATTTAGTGCGTAAAGAACACGTCCAACAGTTTTGTAAGCAACATACACAGAATCTGTGGTCACTCCTGAAGAGGCAGTGAGAAATTAACCCACATCCTCCCGCTCTCACAGACCCCACACCTGCAATATATTTGCTGAAGGATCAAATGGGATTGGGGAGCTGGAGTAATATGGTCAACTGGTCTTCATCCAGGCATGCATCATTCAGTAGGTTAGAATTAAGGGTCAGCAACTGTGAATATGGCTAATCACTTGATGACGGAAATTGCAGGTGAAGACAACCTGCTGCTGAGAGCACTTTAGCAAATTAACTCTTTCCTAAGCTTAAGCAAAGTGAAAAACTATCATTTGAACATTTAAACTAACAAGTACCTGTCATCAGAGCAAAACTGCAAACACCTTGAAATACGGTGTTGCCCAAGGGCAATGATATCAAAAGCTAAAAAGCTGCTACAGATTTGAGAGTCACTGTCTCATGGTTTTGGCTTTGCTTGGCAAACACTGTGTGCTGGAATGTCTTGATATTATGCATTATCTGTGTTTGTAAATGCTGTGTGTACAAATATAAGGTGTGTGTGCATATAAATCACTATACATCTTTCCTGGATACGAATTTATTAGTGCACATTAATGAACTAACAAAACCAGCTAGGCTTGTGTTTGCATAAACATATACAACTCTCACACACGTACTTGTATTAGAACAATGGTATTAAATCAACTCTTTGAAGTCAAAAAGTGCCAGAACTAGAGCTGTTCATGTCTGGCTCTCCTGCTCATCGAACCTGGAATCCCTCTGGAAACCTGAGGAATTGCTCAGCCCATGTGATGGCCTGATACAGGTGTGTGCTTGGGCCAAATGGCAGGGCCAGAACTGCCAGCACCCCCGCAGTCAAACTGCCAGCACCCCCCTGCCATCTCCCCCCAAATTTCTGCTTTCTGAAGGGGCATGGTAGCAATCCTCACTGCCAGCAGTTGAAAGGAAACAATGATTTTTAAGCTCACGATTAAGCTCAAATTGAGTGGAATATATCAAGAGCAAAAGTTAGAGAAATATGTGTTGCTTTGTGGTCTTTTTCCTCCTTTGACGGGAACATATCACAAGAGTATCTCAAAGAGTTGCTCTCTACACTGAAGTCTAAACTATGGAGATAAAGATTTCACGTATGTTCCTTAACTGTACCATAAAAGAACCACACTATTTTCCTAAATGAAGACTACTTATTTTATTTTCCCTTTATTATAATTTTATTATGATTAATGAAAAAATTCACAATAACAGAACTTACTCAAAGTAACTGCTTCCTTCACTGCAAACCTGATGTCAGAGGCAATTAAAACCCATGGAAGCCAAAACAAAACTACCCCACAACTGTATTAACTAGACCTTGCCTTCATTTTGACAAAGTAACAGTCCTGGGTGGCTGCAGAAAGGAAGATTTTAGTATCTGACTCCCAAAGTTGTAATGCTTATGCTTTGGCACTACTGCTGGCAGGTACTCAGTGCTCACACAGCATTTTACTCCTACCTACGGACTCTCCTCAATCTGTTGGAATGGATATTGAAGATTGAGAGATTCCAAAAGAAATGTGCTACTGTACAGTAATGCAGTGTTTTAAAGCACATTTCTGCATCAGTGTCAGTTGAGAAACACTTTAAAAGTTGGGGAAAACAAGATTTTGGAGCTGGTTTTGTTCCATAGTGTTTAGGGCCGACCCTCATTTCATTAATGAGAAAATTGAAAACAATTATTAGGACTAATTTTGGAACAGAATGACATCCATGGATCAGAACATTCAGAATATTTTTTTGGATTATACAAGGAAAGTCTTTATACCTGTTTGAATTTATTCATGCCATTGCACAGTACTGAAACCACATCTTTCACGACTGACATTGAGGTGTCCCTGCTGACTGCTGTAAATCAAGTGGGCCTGATTCCTCTGCTGTCCCACCCTGGCTTTTCCAGCATCTTTACAATGCAATTTTAAGAGTATAAATGAGCTGTTCTTGGGTTACACCAGCAGGCAAAACCCAGTTCCTCCTGTTCTTGCTGTTGTCTTCTCACCATTCAAATAAAAAGCTACATTTAACTGTGTTCATAGGGATACAGAACAGAACAGACTCTAAGACCAGTGTCACAACATGAAGGGTAGTGGTTGAACAGGGGGACTGAGTATTTATTTATGGGAATTCCCACAGTGCACTGGCACTTCCCAAAGGGAGAAGGAAGCATCGTTCCCCCTCTAGAAATCACAGTCTAAGGAGCAGGATGTGGCACTAAACACGACTGAGAAATTATTCTAATTTGTGCCAGCATGCCTTGTTTACCCCTTACTATTTTTTGACCTCACTGTTAATATGACAGTATCTTTGCTGTTTTTAACAGAAAGCAAAAACTGAAGGCTTAAAAACCCTATCGTCCAGTGCAATCAGGGCCTAAGTTCATTGGGAGCAGCTATAAAGCCTTAAACAAGCCCTTTATTTTGTGTTTTAAGAAGTGTCATAAGGAGTTAATAGGACACAGCTGTACAGGCTCTTTCTAACAAGCAGCTTCTGTCGCTTTGGTCACCACAGGTGTCTGTGTAACCTGCAAACTCTTATTACTAGTGTATCAAAGTTGTGCTACTTAATAGATTTCTTTAGTAAAACACAACAAAGCAATTACATGGCTGTTGATCGTTAGTCCTAAAAAAAAACCCTCAAACACACTTTTTCAAAAGAAACTACACTGCAATTTTTTGTCATTGTAAAATAAAAGAAACAGAGAATTAAATAGAAAAGCAGACAATAGAACAGCAGGTAGTCAACTGAACTTAGCCACTACAGATGGTTTAGAAATAGTGTTTCCTTCTACACCAACTTGTGGGATAAAAGAAAAGGAGGAGGCTCCTTACTGCCCATGAATGGCAATACCAAAAGACTTAAGCAACTTTCCAGTCTATGTATTTGGCCCCATGAAAGAACCTAGATGTTTCTTTTTCCTCTCTTACTTTTTTTTTTCAGAAACTTTTAATCTGTTTTTGCAACTACTTTTTTCCATAACCATTTTCACTTCTCTAGAATAATTTAAACTAGAAACATTGCTGCTGATCTCTCCAATGATAAAATGCAGAAGGTCAAGTGAGGAATTCCTGAGAAACTCAAGTGTCATTTAAAAAGCACATTAGAAAAAGAGACTGTTCCACTCTCCAAGGTCACCTCAGTAAAGAAATGGTAACTATAACTTACAAAGTGAAGACTAGAAATGCATAAATGCTTTATTCTAATAATCCACAAGAGAAAGAAACATAAATGTATAATTTTCCTTGTTCAGTAATCACTGGAGTTGTGTAAAGAAGTGGCAGCCTTATTCCAGGCCAAATGATTGTTGCATCTTTCAGTCAAAAATTACAATAAATCTAATGTAATATACATAGGATGTTATGCTGACAAGATATGATCAGTGATCTGGGCAAACAAAGGTTACAAAGTAAGGTCCAAGTCAGAGAACCAAACAACTCATATTTCTAAATGTTATAATAATAATAATAATAATAATAATAATAATAATAATAATAATATTGTTATTTTCAGAAGATCACTATCAACTGATAAATAACTAAAGAAGAGAGAGACCTTATTACAACACTAAGAAAATTTGTTGGTAATCTACAAAAGTTTTAGAAGGAGGTAGAATCTACAGTTTTAATTCTGTACTCATCAGCAAAATTATGGTCTCTCTAGGACATAACTTTTATTATATTAGAACCTTTATTATATTAAAACTAAAATATCTGAACACTCCCAAAGGAAAGTTCCGTAAGAAAATTGTCATTCAAAAAAGTTCATATTAATTACAAGTGTTTAACATTTTGCATAATCTGTTCTTAATACTAATTTATCACATGAATGTTATTTTTTAAATAAGATTTTCATTATCAGCAATAGTTATTACCCCAGACAGTTCTCACATAGTTGCACCAACATACACACAATTAATGCCATGTAATATTTCTGCATAACTGTGAAGGCACATGTTTGAATATAGAATCATGTTTGAAAATAAACTGGAAAAAAAAAAAAAAAGGAAATTATTTCTTCAATTACTTTTTCCTGCACAGGAATAAGAAGTCACTTTTTCATGAACACAAGGCCAGTCCAATTCTCAATGAATGTCAGCCAGCACAGCTTCATTGATCAGCTGAGAATGAGCTGAAGTTTCAGCTCAAATAGATATTAAGCACCAAAAATATTTGATAGCCAGGGCCTTCCCTGCTCCACTCAGAGTCCAATAAGTCTTACCTTGCTCTGTTTGCTTCTTTTGTCATGTCCCATGCCCAGGTTATGAAGTTCTGACTCAGGTAGGAGACAATAGATTCAGCACAAAGCATTTGTGAGCAGAAGACGTTGGTTAGTACACTTTCATCATGGTGGAGGTAGATAGCAAGGAGCTTTCTCTGGAAAAAATGTGACAAGAGGTGAGTGAAAAGCTCCTCAGGCAATTTAGCAATTTAAAGTTACTGCTGCAGGTTTGTGTGTTAGTACCCACAATGGGGTTTATCAAGGGTGACAAGTATCTCAACAGGCACACAGAAGAAATAACCAGCAGATTTCAAGTCAAATGGTCCATTCCTGAAAATTTTTAAATATTCTCAACACTTCCTAATATTCTGAGTACTAAAATATAATATATTACATACTTAGAGCATGTAAAGAATAATGAATGAAAACAAAAACCTTATTAACAGACCTAGGAAATGGATGAACTTTTTCAGCTTGCTGTCCAACAAAAATAACATTTCCCCAAACAGGGAACACACCTCTTGATTGAACAGCATCTACCACAAAAAACAGTTATAAACAACCTGAAAAAAAAGATGGTGCATTGCTATCACCACCTCTGTAGCCAAATAAAGAGGCACTGCATGCTGAGATGGTGTCTGTGCTCTACTGAAACCAAATATTCTGCACTGTTATTCTGGAACCCTATCAAGTAAAACTTGAGCTTCACTGCCAGCAGCTGTGTCCCCGTGAAAACCTCAGACCACCTTTTGGAAAGCAAGTCTGTGTGCATGTAAATATAGAAAGCAGGCTGCAAAAATACAGGGAGACTATGAGCTAGGTAGGGACTGTGATTCTGCAACTGGCATTCAATGAATTATAAATATAACTCAGAAAATTACAGCTTTCTGTTCCCCCATACCCATATAAATTACTTTATTTTGAAATAGTACTTGAACACATTTGCTAAGATGATACCCTGCTATTTTCAGACTTTTATTTAAAGCAATTTCAAATCTCTTCATCAGAAGTAACACTGAACCCTAGATATTGATGTGTATTGATACAGCAAGACATGAGATACAATTTTTAGACAAGCTGTCTTTGCAAAAAACCCCTGTAGGGCTCTCGCCTCATATACTGGCTTTGGATAAAATCTAATGACTGTTTATAAAAGGAACATTTGAACATTCGACTTTGGGAAAGGGATTAGTAATTTGCATTACTGTTTGTCTAATTTAATTTAAATGTTCTTCAGAACCACGTACACATGTGCCAGGAAGGGCCATTAATAAGCCCAACATGCAGAGATCCATATAAGTGCAGCCAACAATGTTGACTGAAACTAAACTTGAAAATCCAGGGCACTGATGCACAATATCATGCAATAAAACAGCATTTCTCTGGTGATATTTAATTTAAAAAGAAGAAAGAGGCAGGGGAAGATCAGGCACTGTCTGTTTTTGAGGATCAGCCGTTCTGCATTTCAAAGCGTCGATCCCTGCAATATCCAGGTTACTGTGCTAGAATCTCGACTATTATATAGCAGTTGTAAGAGAGGGAGGGCAAAGATGTGTTTACTCAGTGATTAGGGCCTTAGAATAAGCCTCTAGCTCCTAGAGAGACAGCTCACCACTTATTCATTTGGACCAATTCACAAAGCCTAGAAAGATTAAACATCCATGCTGAGAAGACAAGCGAATGCAGACGGTGAAAAAGAAATAAAAATTCTTTAAAAACTCTGAGATGACTTCATTATTTTTTCCACAAGGAAACTTTAGGAAAGTGTTTAGTTAGAGAAAAACCCACATTGACCTCTCTCTAAACCCTTAATCTTTCCTTTGTGGTGGCACTGCTTTGTGGTAAGCGGATGGCTTTGCTCTCCTCTTTTCACTGGGAGCGGACAGAAAAAAAGGCTCTTGAGAAACACTTTTACTTCCAAAGAAACAACCCCATGAAACTGTTAAATATGAGATTCTGTACAACAGAATGTTTCAAAATATGTACAGTTTTAGGCTTAAAGATTTAGGGACAAATTTTAGTAAACAGAACGGGCACAAACACAATGGAAGTTTACACTGAGTTACTTCCCAAGGGAATGTAATTTTTGTTGTCTCAACAAATCTCACCATGCAAAGACTAAACTCTATCACATAGAAAAGACTGCACTTGTATCTGATACTTCATCCAAAATGTTAAGTGTGGGCACAGGCATATTGCTATGACAAATGCAAAGAGGTAGCAGGAGGAACTGAAGTGCTAAGACATGATTTGGAAAAATATTTGTGAAAGCTGGGGGCATTTTTTCCTTGGAAAAATGTGTGATTGCAAAAGGCTCACAGCGTGAAGTTTGTTGTTGTTGCTGTTGTTGTGTGGGTTTGTTTTCATGTTTGTTTACTTTACTAACCCATGGAAGCACATATTTATAAGCAAGTTTTGGTTGTGTTTATTTCAAGCCTTTGAAAAGTCAGAGTAAATTCTAGGATTCTATTATGACTTATGCTGGATATTTTTCAGTCAATACCATTAAAACAGCCTTGCAAAGCTGTTGAACAGTCTCAAATTCCACAAGAAGCAGCCTACTAATGGAGCACTAGACTGCTCTGTGTTGGATTTTTCAAAAATATGACTTGGAGGTGGTATAGTTAGCATGAAATTTTAACCAAGAATACAGCAGGGAAAAAATTTTACTAGTCCCTACAAAGGTATGGGATACCAGAAAAGTTTTAACCACTGAATACATGAGGGACTTCCAAAGGCCTTAGGACATGAGGAACTTAAGCTACCAAGGGATGCATCTTTGATAGTATGTGCATGCTAAAGACCAGGCATTTTAAAGCTTCAGAGAAGTTAACACACTTTGTACAGAATTAGAAGAAAAGTTGTCGCTGATGTGAAGTTGAAGGAAAAGTTGTCACTGAGGCAAAAACCCCATAAATTGGCATCAGTGGGTAGTGGGATTTCTAAGCTTCTCAGCCAGTTCCTAATACTGTGAATAACTCAGGTAACTCGAAAGAATATGAACTTGAATGGGAATAGCAATGCAATCATAAGGGGCAGCAAAACCAAGGACCTGGATGGTTATTTTAGAATCTCAGGTTTACAAGTTCAAGTAATGACTGAGACAGAAAAGTTCATGATGTAACAGCTGCTAGAGGCATGAATGTTCTGTCAAACTGGTAGGCTAGCAAAGAAAAACTTATTTTTTTCCTCCAGGTTTTATGCAGTGAGAACTAATTCAAATTTAAAAAGGGACGTATTTGCACTTCTTTATATCTTTGAAGTGCACAATCTGATCCACCTGTCCACGGTGATCTTGGAGCTCATAGGATCAGCCTTGGGCTACTACTACTACTACAACTACTACTACTACTATTACTAAGGCTACTTCATCTAGCCTTGTAGAAGAGATCTGAAAAAACCAGTACCCCACAGGTTCCTAAAGTAGGAGTGAGGTGATCCCTGTAAACTTCTGATCCCACATTTTGTATTACACATGGCATAAGACATCCCCAAACTAGCTCCTAGATTAATCTTCCTGTAATTTTACCTTTCAGTAAAACATCTCATCTCAAACATCCATCAGTGATGAAGAATGCACAGGAGCCATGGTAAGGTGTTCAAACAGCCACCCATTCTCCCAGGTAAAGGTGTGTTAAAAGCCTGATTTAGTCTACTTTCATCTTCCAACTATTTGATCCTATTATACTGTTGTATCTCCATTTCAATCAATTGCACCTGTAGTGATACCTTACACAATGCAAATAGTATCCAGTAATTAATGCCAAACTGGGGTAAGATCTATAATTACAAGCTTTGAAAGAAGAGGATATGTAGAGTGAGGCAGACAAGTTAAAAAAACATCCATTATTTAGTATCAAATACAGAGGATGCTGAGGAGAGACCCATGCCTGGGAGCAATCCTGCAGATAGGAAAGATGAAGCTACTCTTTAGATATGAAAAATGAAGGGTGTGGAGGCAAACAGTGAAGCTACTAAACTGGTATGTTGTAGCAGAAATTTCTAAATAGTTATCCACAAATTCAGAAATAATTTACAAATTAAAGGACAAAACTGCTAACATACATCAGGCAAGGCTGGAAAGAAAATGGTGATTAACATGGGACTTAACTGGAGCTTATGTACTGATATTTACCACAGTGCAGCTGCTTCACTCTCCCTGAAAACCTGGAATTATACTTCTATACCTGTCTCCCAGTTTCAACCAGACCATGTACCTTAGTGGTCAGGTTATTTATGTTTAATCACAATTTGTAAAGGGGTAATTCCTCCAGCTGTAATTTGTAATAAATTCAGCATAAATTTAATCAGCTGAAGTAATAAGGGACATTTTTCTGAGTTATACAGATAAAAATGGTGCTACAGAAAGCCCTGTATGAAGGAATATTCTGCTACCACCAAGGAAAAGGAAAAAAAAAAGCTTTTATTTGAACACACCAAATCATGGAAGGAGCATACTTTACTCTAGGTATTCAGGAAATAAAGAACCCATATGTGAGAGGGATGGTGCTGCCTCTAAATCGAACCTAAAAGACAGAATTCAAGGAGAAGAAAAACACGGTTCATTTTCAGAATGCAGGAATATATATTGAGGTGACAATACCAATCTGTGCTAAGAGAGATGTTTCACATATTTATTAAAAGTCAGTGGACAGAAAGGTTGAGAGAGGAGCAGGAGGTGAGATGACAGAGGTATATAAAGATAAGAGCTCCTGAAAAGGAAAAGGCAATGTCTTTATTCTTTCTCTTAATAAAAGAGTAGCAATCACCTATAAAAATGAAAAGACAAGCTCTGATAAAACAAAATACTTCAGTAATATTCACATATATAACTCAGTAAGCTTCAATATAGCAACTAAAATCCAGTATTAATAACAATACCCCAGGTCAGGATAAACCCCCTGATGTCTCAGGACACAAGACACCCACAAACTGCTTTCAGACACAAGGACACCTTCCCCAAACACCTTGTTAAAAAAATGGCTAATATAGGATTTCTTCCATGTGTAGCAATTCCCATGGCAGTATAACTCTGTAGCAAGAGTAAGATCACTCTTCAGAAACTTAGTGACAGGGAAACTCTTCTTCCCAATAGACTAAGCAAGACTTTCACAAATACCAGCTTAATTGTTAATTTAATAAACCTCCGTCTCTCTTTCTCTTCCTGACCCCATTAAAAAAAGAAATACTGAAAATATTTTCTTGTCATATATACAATAAGCCTTTAAATGAATACACAACACCCTTCACTATCAGCTGCTGGAGGCAGCTGGGAATTTCATGCCCAAGGACACTGATTGTTAAAAGCAAGGCTCTATATCTTGGGTATTGTATTTTTGTGGTGAAGAGTTACACAGGTTTTAAAGAAGAGCTACATTTGACCTCATTCCCCCTCTCCTACCAAAAACTGGCATTGTTGTGGCAGCAGTTGCTCCAAAGGTTAAAAGACACCCATCATGTATGTTAATCTGCACTGGCTATTGACTCAAAGACAGCAGATAAACACCTTGACTTTTTTCACAAGGTATTTCTTTTTCAAGCAACATTTTGTTAAATAATCATGAATTACCATCCTTTCCAACACATGAAAAGACAATAAGATTTAACAGGAAACATCTATTTTCATAAAAAGAAGTTGAACTCATATTCTGCATTCAAAACACGTCTTCTGACATAAGTTAATTTTCTTAAAATAACCCAAAATAAAATATTTCTGGAAATAGCTTCATGTTTATATGCATTGGGATTTTTTTTTTTAATGAGGTAAAAAGTATCCACAATACAGATTTAAAACACAGCTGATGGCTGTCTCACCAGACATGAACTGTAGAGTGCACCTTCTGCTCTGGACAGCGTTGAGAATTTGTCAAGAAAAGGCCAAGATCTCTGAGCACTCAAGCTGCCAAGTGCTCTCAAATTAAATCAGTTTGAAGCGGTTTTCATTAAGATGGATTGAGTGTGGCATCGTGAGAAACACTCTATCAAATGTAGTGTTTTACTTAGTGATTAAGTATATACCAGTTGATGAAGCTGCCCAAATCCTTCGTAATCCCACCACTCCAATAAACATTTAATGAGTATATAAGTTCAAAAAGCCTAGTAGAGGATTTAAACCTTCAATCTTGTTTTTATTTACTCTTGGAACTCAATTTCTCACTTCAAGTGAAGAATGCTGGTGCCTGAAGCTCATCTGTTACCCTGGTAAAATTAAGTGCCCTCCATAGTATAAATTAGAAGACAAGACATACAGGTTGCAATTTCTCCAAAGATTTTTTTTATACTGGTATATATATATTTAATTATTTTATGAAATTAAATGATGAGAATATGAAATAATGTGTCCCTTTCCTCAATTCTGAATTCCAGGAGCCAGTACTGAAAAAATTACTTTGTAATAGGGAAAAGCAGTGAAAATAAATGGTATTTCCACATTCTCATCTCTTTGCTTAATATCAGAAAGTTACAATGAAAATAATGCCATTCCAAAGGTGGGAAGGCGAGCTTTCAAAATAAGGCAATATTCAGAAAAAACACCAAAAATCTGAACAGCACACAAAAAAAATGAATACTCTCCTAAATATATACATTTATATACATATACATGTATACACACAATGATTTTATTGTGATGATGACCCTGTCTGAATAAACCACACAATATTAAAATAACGTGAATTTCAGAAGTGCTATGTAAGCAACAGAAGTATTTTGAGCAACAAAAAACCAAGTAACTGCACTGCATTAATATCAGATTTATAGGTAGAAAACAATTTATGAAAGTTCTTAATGAGTTTTTGTCCACCATTACACTGATACACTGTCAATCATTTCTGGTGACATGACACAAAATGAACTTCCCAACTCACACCCTTTCCTTATTCAATTTATAGGATTTTTTTTCTCTGTGCAAAGACATGAAAATATTCACTAAACTTAGAGTGTTAAGTATGTGTCAACTTCAGCTACACAGTGTGGATTTATAACTCTCACACTGATCAAAATAGCCCCAAACATAATACAGAGGCTCCTTCCAATATGAATAACTATATTCTTCATTTTAAAATTAAACATCTATCAAGAAAACAAAAAGTAAATTTAAACAGCATGATTTTCTTGTTTGTGTTTCAGCTTTATCTGTGCTTAATTATGCAAGGTTTTGGGTTTCTCCTTAGTGAATCAAGTCACCGAAACTTAAATAAACTGTCCCCATTCTAATTTTATTAAAATACTGATTTTAAAACTGTGCATGGAATAACAGAAACTTGAGATGCCTGGTTGGATGTACAGGAAAACTAAACAACCAAACCTGAGTAATGGAACTTACTTGGCAGATAAAGGCTGTACAAAGTGGGGGGAAAAGCACACTGTATTTCAGAGACCTTTCAATTTAAATTTACAATTTCATTAGCCATTCTTCAAAGGAGTTACCAACATGCAACAGTGAACTTGTCAACCACAAGACTCACAGGCAGTGTTATCTGGTGCTAGGACACCATTATTTCAGGGAAAAGAAAAATAATAGCTTTGACAACTAAGAACTCCAGTGAAAATACAGCCTGAATGATTAGAAAGCATCAGTTACTCACTGCAATTCCAGAAACCACCAAGGTAAGCATTTTAGTCAACTGAATGAGTGCAACTCTTCTTGAACAATAAAAGCAAAATAACTCCAAATTGTAGCTCAACTTTTCAAAAATAAAGATGAAACCCTTAAAATCCTTTCCATTACCCCGCTATATTATATAAAATAGTTTTAATACACACTTACATCTCTAGCTTTCCCATAGAAGGCTTCTTGAAAAGCAGCTTCTAATGATCCAATAAAATAAACAGGATGGCAGTCACCATACCTATTTGTGATAAAATTTCCAATTAATAAATGACAACAAAATCAAGTAATTTCAATATTCTACCTGTTCATATATTCTGTAAATATAATGCATTGGCTAAACCTTTAGAAAGATGAAGTATTACACTTCTAAAGGACAGAAAGGAAATATTTAGGACCCATTTGTTTTCTGACATTGAAAAACTCAAAGTAATGAACTACTACCTTACAAACTTTATCATAAAAACATTCTGTTTACACATGTAGATACCTTAAGTTCTACACAATTTTCTATAAAATTTTTCAATCATAACTTATCTCCTCTCTTTATTCTATTCTTAAAGGTTAATTGAAGGCTATTATTGCATTACACATTAATGCATCTCATACACATAAAGGAACATCTTATCACAGGAGTGAAAACAGAAGGCACATAAACTTTGCATTACTCTGCAGCTTCTGCCTATTCAATCAAACAAGCAACTGTTTAACAGTGCATGATTTGGTAGTATAAAGTTTTTTAAAAATCCAGAATTTTTAAAAGTCAGTATTTACCCAGCCACTTTGCTATTGTGAAAACTCTCACAGAAACTACATATATATTTTTCAATATTAATCAATTTCAGCTTTTCTGTTCCTGCATATAAATAAATTATCATATAATAAAATTATCATATATAACCAGGCTTTCTCATCCTTCTGGACCTTTACATAATAATAATAATAATGATAATGATATTACATAGTGGCAAAATAAGTAAGACAAGAATCAACCATTCCAGCTTGGGCTGAGAAATAATTTTATTTCAGAAGCAGTTCTAGCAGCAGAGTTAGAAATAAAATAAATTAGTTTAGGATGTCTAAATATGCTGTATTCCATTAGGATCTCTAAATATGCTATAATCTCACAAGAAAACATGTACACTTGCTTTATTTTCATTTTCATTATTTGCTAACATAGTTTGTAATAAGAATTGCACAGTTAACAGGCTAAGCTTACCTTGAAGAAAACTCTGCTGTAAATTGTAATAAGGCATCTCCTTCATTTTCAGCATTTTCTGGCACTTAAAAAATATTAAATAAATAATAAAAATAAATAATGCAACCTTATGGAAACAGGTTGTAATATGCAAACACATTCACTTGACAGGTATTTCATGTTCCCAGCTTACTGAAGTGTTCCCAAGAGACCATATAAACTTCACCAAAGACTATCTACTACGAACCTTTCGAAAGACAAGAAATTTCCAGAGGGGCTCATGAATACATTCAGGTTTTCCAAACAGTAAAATCCTCAGGTCCAGTGTAATGTGATACATCACTTGCTCAGAGTTAGCAGTCTGACTTACTTTAAGGCTTGAAAGGCTCAACTCTTCCTATCCATACTGTTAAAAAGTTTTCCATATTATTACATGTATTTGCTGTCAAAAAACTTCTAATGAAGTAACACTAATGCAAGCCTAAAGTAAATAAAGAGTATGCAAGAATTGCATGTAGGAGGTAACTGACTGCTCAATCCTTTTCATAATTCAAGGGCAAATAATCACTAAGAAACTAGATTAGCATAATGACTAAAACATTAATCAAAAACAGAATCTGTAGAATTTTCAAAGCAGACAAGTGGAAATCTAGTTATCTACTAGTTATCTGGGTGCATTTGGATAGAGATCACAATTTCTCTGATTTCATTTGTTACTCATCAATTTTAAGTCAAATAATTATTCTTCAGCTGCAAGGTTAGAAATTTCCCTCCATGGAAAGGTGTTTTTATAATTGCCAGCTATGTGTGGAGTATTTTCCTTTGATACATCCATCAGAGGTGACATTCCTATCAAAAGATACTTTCCAGTTTCTAATTCTGCAGACTCCTCACACCTCTCTGCCTTCACCTCTGCTGTACAACCCCAGTTCATTGTAACTCTTACTCATTGGCGATTTCCTCAAGGCAGATGATGCTACTCCAAACATTTCTCCATCATCAACTCCAAACTCAGTAGCATCTTCAAAGTCATCTCCATCACTATCACTAACCATATGAACATCAGTGCATTGCTGTATAAAAACAAAACCCAAAATCCACTGTAAGCTTCTATTTCACACATTTTCAGTGAAATACAAAATACATTCACAGTGACAAATACTTACATATTTCCATCAACACATAATACACTGCAGTTTAATTTTCTATTTTATGCAGCATTATCAAAGGTAATTTTTAACAGAAGTCTGGTTGACAGAAATATTGTGTGACAAAATGCATTATTAAAGAATTTCTGCATACACACAGTTGAGCAAGTTTTATCCAAAGTTAATGCTGTTTTCCATCTAACGGTACCAGAGCTGGCCTAACTGTATAAGAGTGAGAAAAACCACACAATGGTGGCTTTTATGTTGGTATTTGACATACCAATACAAAGGAGAAAAATCAAAGTTTCAGTGCAATGAGCTAAGGTCTCATCCCCCACAGTCAGAAGCTTTGCTGGGATTTGCTTGGGTTTTTTTCTTCTTTTTCTTCAATGACTCATTTGCACAGTCACAATTACGTGTTGCAGGAACTGTAAATGGATTGTTGAAAGATTCAATTCTACTGACCCACTGGACAACAGGAGGGATGGTGACCACTGCACACCGAGGTGTCCCTGCCTCTTCCTAGAGCAGACTGCTAAATCAGAGATGATGTCCTTACCTCCTCTGACTGTTCCCTTGTTTGTACAGGTGAAGATCTTCTTCCAACTGTGAGTCGATGGCAAGGGAAAGTCAGTCCTGACACAGCTAAAGTCATCTACAAAGCAAGCAATGGTTCTTCATTAAAGCCACAGTCTCAATTAAAGGTTGGGGGGAGGGTTTAAGGTTGTTTAGAGTTTCAAATTAAAGACTGCATTATTTTAACACATTCTAAGAAGCCTGAAAAACTAAAATGATTCCTTACATTAAGAATATTCAAGGAGACATCAGCTGAGTTTTATTGAGGTGTATGCACAGAGTATCAAAACAAACTCCATGAACTGCAAATTCCAAAGTGCCTTGAGCTGTTATTTTCTCCTAATCAGTACTGGTTTGAAATGTTACTGTACATGCCAACTTTCACAGTACTATGCTTGGATGATGTAAATGTAGATTTTTTTATAGCTAATCAAGGAGCAATTGTTAAAGAAAAGATGCTAAGTATTGATACAAGTAATTAAAAACAGTTAAATAATCTTAAAAAAATATTATTTTGAAAGATCTGTTTATCAGCAGACATTGTAACAGATACAATCACATTGGCAACTTAAAAAATACATTTCTTCTCCTTTTAAATGTCAAGGGTGCAGACCATGTACCTCATGTGAACAAAGACACACGAGCCAAACTGGTGACACTGCAGTCAGCACAGTCCACAGGATGGATGTTCAGGAGCCAGTGCCAACAGAAACAGCATTTCTGCCTGTTGTTGTATGCCCAAATCTCAATTTTTAAAGAACTACCAATAGAAAAAGTCTACTGTCACTTGAAAGACAAAATTATTATGAAACCTGCAAACATGCAGCAATAATATCTGAAAATCTGGCCCTATATTGCCTTTTAAAATGCATTAATTATAATGCCTGAAAATGAGAACCCTGTGAACCAACTGTGCCATCCTTGCATTTCAAGCTTCTTCCCAGCCTCCTGCCTCTTCTGGAGAGCACATCAGTCCAGGAGAAGCAAGCTTGATGACCACAAATTGCAATTTCAGAAGCACCTAAGACCTATATGAACTGATTTTACAATGTGAGTAGCTCTTAAATAAAGATAATTGATTATTTTTGGCAATGACAAAGTATTTAATGTTATGCAATTTTCAGTGATGTGGAGGAGGGTAGTCCTGGCTGTATGTTTAAAACATCATCTCTAATGGTTCCTACAGATGAAACACAGAGAGGACAGAAAAACACCTAGATCCCATAAAACTTATTAGTATTTTTGCAAGATGCAGAACAAAATATTTACATTATACATTTCAGAAATACAGCACTCTCCTAATTGAACTGTAAAAACATTAAGGTAAAATACATTTCAATCATTCTTAACAAAAATCCAAGAATAAATCATAAGCCTTAAATTTCATTTACTGCCATAAGCACTGAAAATACCCCATTTATTTTTTATACATAATTCAGAGCGACTTTCTCACTTGTCTGCTAGAACTCACAAAGATTTAATTTGCTGCAGGTTGAAGCAGGCTGATTAAGCAGGCTGGTTACCAAATGAATGTTAACCTGTCTGAACTAGCCTACTGTCACATTCTCACAGAAAGGTTAAACACAAGTTTAGCTGTGTAAAAAGCTCAGCAATGGTCTTAAAGGAAGTGAGTTATAATACTCTGGAGCAAATGAAATATTAAAGATGACACACAGGTCTAGACCAATTACCTATGAAACTTCTGTGACAAGAGCATAGGAACTGCATTCTCTGTAATAATCCACCATTTCAATTCTTATTTTTATAAGCTTTTAATAATAAACAAAACCCAACTGTTATAAAACCTGAAACTTTGCCCTGTAGTTATCACACTACACAAAATGCTGGTGAAGCACACACACACACACATTAACCACACACAGACTTCAGCTCCCTCTCTCACAGCATCAAATACCCTGACAGATGCCTGGAAAGGCTCCCGGTATCTCTTACGTGCACATTAAAGAGAGAGTGGTAAGATCAAGCAGGCAGTTATTGTGCTGCTTCATCACTTGGCCCAATTGCAGGGTGTTGCAATTCCAATTTGCAACCCTATATTATAGTGTCAAAGCGTCTCTCAAACACGAGCTAACAGCAGAAGGGGTTCCACATCAGAGCCTGTTTCATCCTACTCTCCAGACAGTTGCTGGAATGTTGGGGGTTTGTGCACATTGGTGTGAGAAATCACCCTTTTCTTTGCTTTTTTTGCTTTTTTTTTTTTTTTTTTTCTGAGAAGTTTTTTTTTTGCAAAAGAAATAGCAGCTCTCTCATTCCAAAAAAAAAAAGAGAGGCATCAACATTCTTCTAGAATAAAGTTATCTTCATTCAAAGATTGAGTTCTCTTGCAAAGAAAGGCTCTTGTACCACAAAAGCTCAAGCTTTATTTTGGAAATCATAAAAAACACCAAGACTAAGCAAAATATTGTTTTCCAGGCATCTCAGCAAACATTTTCCTAGCACAGTGAATGCAGGCTAAGGTACTGATGTGAGCACCACTGAAGTGTCTCAGTGGCAAGAACTGTAGATCTCACACTGGTCGTGGAGAGGTTTTTCTTTCTCAATACTGTACCTGCACCTCCCAAACAGAGATGCAGAACTTGATCATTGCAATAAATTATCACTGTGTTTCAGCCACCTTCCCATGGGAATGGACAAAATCTTTGTACCAACCCCACCACAATGAAAAAGTCATTTGTAGCCTGAGTACCTGATTACTCATATTCTCTAGCTTGCGAGCCCATCTGGCTGTGAAAAAATTCTGAAGTCAGTCACTTTTCTGAATTTTTCTTTTTTGCATGAAAATCGTCACTAGGTTGGTACCAGAGCTTGAATGGGATGGCTTACACATGCACAAGAAAAGACACTGAAAATGCATTTGCAGGACTTGTGCATGAATGACAAGCTAGATATAGGTTATGAAAGAAATAATACACTAAAGCAAAAATAAATAAGATTATTTTTTTAGGCAGGGAACCTATGATATGCAAATCAAACTGTCTCAGAACTGAAAGGCACATGAGGTGGAAAGTGAAACAGAATCAGAAAGAAGGAAAATTACTTGCAAAAAGTAACTCCAGAGCCAGATCTTTTTTCCAACACTGTATAGACACTATTGTGCTTATTTAAGTAGTCTCCTATTTGGCTTCCTCTAGGTTTTAAGAAGGACAATAAAATTCAAGATTTCAAACATTTCAGGCAGAGTGACAGCAGGAAAGTCTCCTGCTAGGTGACAATAGATACTAAATGGATTCAATACCTCTGGTATTCAAAAAGGTAATGGTACAACCTGGACTAAAAGCACACAAAAGGTTATTTGAAATAGATTTTAACAACTAAGAGAAAGATCACTACAAAATCAAACAATTTAGAGAGGGCAGAAATAGTCTGGTGCTCAGTTGTGCTTTCCAACTCTAAGACACTAATACTATTTGTAAATGCTCAGCGTGAGATGATTTGTTTTTCAATTGCCAGCATTAGCAATCGAGGGATAAAGTTAAGCAACATCTTTTCTGATCCAAACATGTAGAATTCCTTGTCAACCTTCCAGATTAACCCAGAAATATTTGCCAAATCTGGAGTGAGACCAGATGCTTTAAACAATAAATTATTCTTCATGTTAGGAAGTATTAGTTTTATGTAGAAGCTTCTAGAAATATAATTCAGAACAATCTAAACCCACTATTTTTTTCTCAAACACTTCATGATACAAATATGTCTGCAGGACAGAAAGAAATCAATGAGAGCATGTAATTCCAGAGTGCTGCCATCTCATGCTCAGAATAATATGAAAAATTACAAGCCCATAATCTCAAAACCTTGTATCTTCTAGAAAGAGTTTGTTTGCACAACTTAATTCCCACTCTTGCAGACTTCTGACATTACAAATGAAGGAACAAACTCAGTCTCTTGTACCAGAGATATTTAATCAAGATGCTGAAGATGTGAGAAAGATAAACAGTAGAAGGAACATGAAGGAACGATACCAGCAGAGAACTCCAGCTGCAGAACTCACTCCACTGAGACATGCTGATGCAAAAATTATAAACTCGGTGGACTGCATCAGGAAAGGAGTAACTGGATGTGACAAATTGTCCTTCATCATGTTCAGCCACACACTGATGGAGAAAAACAGAATCTCAAAATAGATTTGAATGGCAACTATACCTAATGAGGAAAATGAAGGAAGCTATAAGGGCTTTCTAGTGCACTACAGAATATAGCTGGGACACCCAAAGCGTCCAGTTTAAGGCAATAATCTGTAAAGAATGGGACATTCTTCCTCATCCTCAATTACTGAGAGCTTGTGCTGCTCACAGGATATTTGCCATCAAGGGACACCATCTTTGAAAAGGAATAAAGCTTTTCATAAAAAATAAGCAAGTATAATGTTTAAGGAAGGCAGGAATATTGGTTTAATTTGTGGTCTTCATTAAGTTTTTGATTATTACAGGAGCAAAGAGGGTATTGAGGTTTTGGAAGGAATGCATGGGCACCCTGATTTGGTTTAATGTACATTATTGCATCTATCTAAATATATGGACCTGTTAATCAGAGCAAGTTATTAAATGGAGCCCTTCAATTGTACTTGTCAATTAAAAAAAAAAACAAACAACTAGCTTTTGGCTGTTTAAAAGACCATTGAAAAGAAGAAACTGTTTCAATCACTGTAACGAGGTAATTTTATTGTTCAAACAACTCAAATGACAAATTCTTTCCAACTCACTGGAGAGGTATTTTTCCATGACAAAATATTTTCAAATACAATTTTTTTGGCATAGAGATTCTTGATCATTTGTTCTCAGAAATTCAAAGGTCAAACTGTAAATCTTACAAAGCATCAGACAGAAATTCAGAGAACACTTGATCCATGCACAAAGGAGAAGATTCTATCAGTGATGCCAGATTTCACTTGCACACACACAGCAAGTGAAGCAACAGGCATTATCTGAAAATGGCAAGCCAAAACCAAAATCTTGCAGTGGACAAACTTTCTGGATTTTTAATATAAAAAAATATCCTAAAAAGAAATGTAATTTCTGTATAACTTCACTGCTATGAATCAGTCTGATTATTCAAGTA